AGAAACAGAAAATGACTGCAGACATTTTCAGTTTACTCTGTAAGAGACTGTATTATCTTTTCTAGTTTAAGTTTGTAATGAAAAAACTTGGACCATATCTGATCTGTGGGAAGCTCTTGCTGCAGCAAACTCTTCTAGGCTGCCAATAAAGGTATATACAAAATATTAATAAATAAAACTAAGTCAATAGATTAAAAATCAAATATGAACATAAAACATATAGCGGTTTTTCTCTTACACTCATTTTCCATATCCCAATGGAAGTTCTCGACCTCTTTTGCATTGCGGGAACCGACAAAAGCCTTCGGATGAGAGACTCGAACTTTTGATGGGACTTGGCGCTGTTCTTCGAGAACATTCGTGCCTACCCTCTTCAATAGGGCTATGTCATCTTGAACCTTCTCGATCTTATCTCGCACTGCACCAAACAAAAAAGAGACGTCATCGTGTACGAAATCCAAGCTCAACGAACTCGGGTAACGTGTCTATTGAATTATTCAATCCATCCACTGTCAAGCGTGGATCATCGAGCGCATCGTTCGTTGTTTGCAATAAGTTCTCCAACCTTTGAATCGGTGCTTCAAAAGACACTACGTGGTCTTCACGTCGAATATAATCATCCATTGTTCCTTGATTTGCAGCGTGCAGAACCCAATGTAGGCTCTGATACCAATCTTTGTCTTTTCCTCATTCTTTCTTTTTAAGATTATAAAAAAATTATTAACTTAAATTATAAATATGTTCTAAATTTTAACAATTTTTGAATATAGTATAAATTTTGTATATATACTATATCAAATTAATCATCTTTTGATGTTTTTTGATTTGACATCTATATTGTACATACAGAATGAATAAATAATTATATTTATCTTTATAATAAAAATTAAATTATCTATTCATATTATTAAAAAATAAAATTGTTACTATAATGTAGTTATATGATATAAGTTAAAAAAATAGAGAATATAAGACGAGTAAGTCTTAAAATTGACTAGTTTTAAATAGAAGTCATATAGTTTTTTCCAAAAAGTATTTAAAATTTAAAACAATTTATTCTCATTATTTTTCAATTTTAAGTATAAATATTTTTACAATCACCCGTGTACTATACTAGCTTATTAGATAATACTGATAGTTTAAATTCTAACTATTGATATCTATTGTAAAACAAAATTTAGAATCATATGTTTAGGATATGAAAATAGAATGTTAGATAGAATATATTAAATAATATTGATAGTTTAAATTCTAACCATTTATAACTACTGTAAATTAATATATATAATCTAGTTCAATAGACACATTGGTTTATATCATTTTATCAAGTTTCAAACATATTCTAAAACTAAATTGGTTTATATCACTCTTATAAAATTAAAATATATATAATCTAGTTCAATAGACACATTGGTTTATATCATTTTATCAAGTTTCAAACATATTCTAAAACTAAATTGGTTTTTTATCACTCTTATAAGTTTCAAACGTATTCTAAAACTAAATTAATCAAGAGACTATACCATACTACAAGTTTTAAGTAACACAACAAAGTGATATATAAAAGCCATAAAATGTTACTATAGATAATAGATATGGCGCTACAGTTTCTTGTACTAGCGTACTACTTAAGATAATGGTGCTATGGCGCTACAGTTTGTTGTGCTAGCGTACTACTTAAGATAATGGGTTAAAAGGTAATATGTATGGGTTAAAAGATAATATGTTTGGTAGTTACAGTTTCTTGTGTTTCTTATGCTACCTAAAGTTAAAAGCTAATATTTTTAGTAATTTTACGTAACAGTTGTTTTATTAAATAATATGTTGTAACACTTTGATAATATTTTTAGTAGTTTTACGTAACAGTTATATTATGTGTTTTATTAAATAATATGCTGTAACACTTTGAAGTAACATAAGCTAAATGTTGGCTACGTAAACACTCTTTTTGCAACACTTTTATTAAAACGTAATACTTTATTTTATAGTTGTTAAACTATATTTCTTATTTTGTATTACTTTTCAAGTGGTAATGTAACACATTTATTTGTCAATTATATTTATTTGTTATTTATTATTTATTATTTCTGAAGCAATTTGGAATGTTTGGTAACACTTTCAATCATTTTTAATAGAACAAATAATGACAAATAAACATAAAAATAAATTTGATTTATTAAATCTATAATATGGCATGAAAGACTTACTAGAATACTATACAATCAAAATCTAAAACAAGAACATGAACACACATATAATGGTTCATGAAATTATATTAAGTCTAGATGACTTCATAATTATTATCTTTACTATCGTCCTGAGCTTCATTCTTCAATGTTCTCACTAATGTCAGAGTTAAGAAAACAAATGGATGTGAAGTTGCTCCATCATCTACTTTATTTGCTTCGGCTGTTGAATAAGGATTTCTCAAAGTGAGTAAATAGGTCGTATTGACGAAAAACATGTAAATGAACACTAAATGAAAAAATGTAGTGTAACTAAAAGGTAATCAGGACTTCTCATAAAATATACCATGTAACATACATAAAATATACAAGGGCATAGATAAAATATTTTGTAGTAAATCAAGTTATTCACACTTATCATACTTACTCTAGAAATTAAGCAAGTGTGAATATCACAGTTAGCGGGATATGGTAGAACATGAACTTGATAGCGTCATGTCATTTCTCAGCATTACTTGCACAGTTATTTCAAATAATAATTATAATTTTTTTTTTCTGCTAATAATTTAACTACAATTATACTCTTTTAATTTTACACTTTTGTATAATACTTTTTTTTTTAGTTTAAATAATTTGAATGTACAATAAATACGTAAAAACATAAAAATAACTAAATTTCAGAAAATAAGGCCATATAAAATATGTTTAATGGAAAGAAGAATTATCAAAACTATTAGTATTTAGTGAATCGAAATTCATGAATTCAAAGAGCGTTCAGTCGAACTTTGTTACTGTCAATGTTTGAAACTCATATAATTTATATTGCACTGTTTTTATTTCTATACAATTATATTATAATACAAATTATATAATTTATATTGCATTGTTATTATATATATTTATTTTATAATACAACTCCCTATTAAATTAAATTAAATGTATGATTATTAAAAAGTATATAGTCTCCCTCAAAATAATTTTTTGGATCCGCCCTGCAAACAATTAAATTAAATGGCCTCTATCCAAGGAATTTGGTTGTAGTCTTGCAGATGAAACTGTTGTTTGGGACATAGATGCTGTGAATTGCGTCTATCCAAGGAATTTGATTGTAGATGAAAGTGCTGTTTGAGAAATGAATGATAGAATTGGTTAGTAGATGAGTGTTGTTTGAGACATACCGCAAAATTCATTAAGCTCATTCAACAACATTTAATTATATATCTTTTCACCCATCCTTATATATGTACATGGGTTATGCATGCCAATAGTCCATATCTTCTCCTTCTTATGTACCAACTCTTATTGATCATTACGGAAAAACCTTAGGAATAAATGGCCTCTTCTCCACCTACAATGAGCTTGGTGTTAGTGATCTTGATGGGGTTACTTTGCTCGTCAAATGCTCGTACATTCATCGTTGGCGATGAAGATGGTTGGATCTTTCACCCCTTCGAGAACTATACTCGTCGGGCCGAAAAAAATCGTTTCGAAATCAAAGATGAACTCGGTACATTAACCTTTTTTTTTTTTGTTTCATCCTTTAATTCTCGACGCATATTCCAAATTCGTTGATTATATATGATGAATTGCTTTGACTCGTGTTTGTAATGCAGTTTTCAAGTACGAGAAGGGGCACGACTCAGTTCTAGTCGTGAACCGAAACGACTACGCCAAATGCAACAAGGAAAACCCCGCGAAAACCCTCAAGAACAGTCGATCGAGATTCGAGTTGAGAAAATCGGGCCCGTTTTTCTTCATAAGCGGGCACGACCAAAACTGCGAAAAGGGGCAGAAGCTCGAAATCGTAGTCCTCTCCCGACATCATCATAATCGAGACTTGCCGACCCCTTCACCAGCAGCGGGGTCCACGGCCCACCTGCCGCCAGTCGAGCCTCCTTCCCATTCCCTGAGCCATCGTCGACTCATTCCTCATAGCTCAGCTCGTGGGATTCGACTCGTTTGAGTTGTTCGATTAATTAGTCTCTGCTTCATTTTTTTTAACTTTTTTTTGAGGGTTTGAAAATTTCAGCTTCAGTTCATGTGTTGCTTTCCTATTATGGTTCTTGGTTTAATTTAAGTTTTAGATTTTACTTTTCACTCTTATGTGGTGCAAATGTTTTCTTGTTCTTACATTTTTCGTACTTCAGACATCGGTTTTGCTTCAATTCGAGCTGCTTCAACTTTAGAAAAACAAATGTCCTCAACAACAAAATCGATATTATATTTACAGATCAGATCACTCAAAATCATCAATGGTGTTGAGAGAGAACGAGATGAAAACATCAACGGTGTTAACCTATTGAAACTCATTCCCAACCGAATACAGATCAGATCACTCAAAAACAGCGAAGATCAATCAATCGTCCCACGGAAAAAAATCTCTACGCAACAATTTATATACACGTCTACGGTCTACATATATATATGTATTATAGATGTATTCTACATGTCTATATCTATATATAGTAAAACAGGTCTAGTGAAAAGCAGATACATACACTTGAATAGATGTCTAAAAACATCATTGAATAGATGTCTAAAAACATCATTTCTACCGAGCCCGAACCCTATCAACTCTCATCTTCTCTTTCCTTATGCGCCGAGCAGCTTCTTGAATCCGAAAGTCGTGCTCTTTGAGCACTTTCTCTATGTTGTTTGATGTAGCAAGTAAAGGACCCGAAAAGTGCATTGTCTATTTAACAAAAGAAAGTGGGAGTAAGTAAAGATTGGCAAATCAATCTAAAACATGAAAAAATTCGAAGAAAAATCGGAAAAAGGCGTGTTTTTCTATTAAAACTCACCGTAACATCTTCTTCTTGTTTTCCCATTTTTTCTTCATTTCGAGAGCCACAAAATATTTTCGGTTGGCTCCTTCTGTCCTGTTTTCTCATGGGATCCCCAAACGACTCTGAAAGCCTGCCCGTTTGATTTGTGGGCCCCACAAAAGACGAGACTACTTTTTCCCTCGGCTCCACATTGCACGAGTTGTTTCTAGAAGGAAGAAAGTAGGATGATGTATTATTATCACTAATTTTTCTTCCGGATAGTGTACAGCTGGCCCTAGGGCCGAGTAGTCCCGAGCTAGACACTCGTTCCTGGTGATTTTGCCGGTTGTCCGAACCAGGGGCATTTCCGTCTTTTTTAGGGTCGAATAATTCGTCGCGGCACTTTGGGTTCACATTGCCATGCCTCCTCTGAAAAACACGAATTTTAGATTTATTATTAGTTTAAGGTGGAATTTCAGCTTTATCCAGATTTTGATCGATCTTTAATATTATATATATATATATATACCTGTATCGACCTAGCCAGGTCAGCATTAGCAATAAGTTCTGTAGCACTTTGCGATTCTTTCGACCTTTTATAATCGTTTTCGCATTTGTGACTCTTCACTCCTATGGCTCCTTGCCTGTACAATTTTTTTCATTGATAAGAAAATGACAAAGAGCTTTAAAAGGAACAAAATTATTCCAGCTGCAAAGCTTATAATCAAGTAACAGATTCTAGACAAATTCCTCAATGTAACTACTTATATATAATCCATTTANACAAGCAAAAGGTTCTGTGTTGAAGAACTTCAAGAAAAACAAATACAGTTCAAAATGAAATGAGACTCAGAGAGAGAGAGAGAGAGTGAGAGTGTGTGAGAGAGAGAGAGAGAGAGATTACCTCACTCTGAAGGGCAAAAGATGCAGTGCCCCGGTCTGAAGGGTCAATAGAGAGTAAAATCTCCATGAGACTCACGGCAGTTTCCGGAATATTCTTAAAAGTTTCGGCAATCCTCCGTCTGTAAGGCTGAATAGGCTTGAAAACCGGGGAATGAGGCAACTTTGAATTTCTCCAATAATCCTCCGAGGGTGAACCACACAGTTTAAATATCTTATGCAGTTGCTCAACCTTCATCATGGTACAAAACAATTTCATTGAAAAAATTGCAAAAAAAATAAATAAATAAAAAAAAAAAATCCATCCTGGTCTCTCTGAAAGCATTCATCACAAAATTCCCATGCAAGCAAATAAAATCAAAGCCAATAGTAGTAAATTGTTCTTTATCCTCTTTATATCAATCATAATTTTCTTGATTATGATTAAGAAATGATTAATAATATTAATTATTACCTCAGTTCTACCAGGCATAATAGGCTTTCCAGCATATAATTCTCCGAGTATACAGCCTGTACTCCACAAATCCACAGCAACTCCATACTGAGTCGCACCAAGTAAAAGCTCAGGCGGCCGATACCACAAAGTTACAACACGGCTCGTCAATGGAACTCTCTGGCTACAATCGAAATAACTCGCTAAACCAAAATCTGCAATCTTCAAAATTCCATTGTTGTCGATTAAGAGGTTTGATCCTTTGATATCACGGTGCAGAATGCCATTACTATGGCAATGATCGAGCCCACTTAGCAGCTGCTTCATATAACACTTGACCTAAAAATATAAAAAATATTATATAATGTAGTTTTTTTTTTAAAAAAAAAAAAAAGAAAGGACAGAGTGAAATATTATCACCTGTGGTTCGGTGAACTTGACACCTGGAATTGAGGAAAGTCCAGTGAGATCATGTTCCATATACTCGAACACAAGATATAAACTGCAAGATGTTTTTGAGGTGACTAAGCCTTCGAGTTTAATGACGTTTGGGTGATTAAGCCTTCGTAAGATGTGAATTTCCCGTGCCATGAATTTGACACTTTCAGGGTCCATATTATCGAAACGTACTTTTTTCAGGGCAACGAATTTGTTGTGCATGAGATCACGGCCTTTGTACACGCTACTGTAAGTTCCTTGGCCAATCTGCAAAAATAAATAAATAAATGCTATCACACAAGAGCCAAAAATCAATCACATCAGGACACGACATGTTGAAATTTATTTTCCTAAAATCTAAAGTTATAAATAGTTTTGACAAAAAAGACAGTTTCACCCATAATTTCTTGCAGAATTGCTTCGGTTAATCAAACTGATCCTAAAATCCTGCCCCTAACTATCATACGCCTCGCCAGAAAATCAAAGGAAAGGAAAGATTATGACGAACAAAAAGGAAACAAATATTGAGTAGTATTCAATATTCATTGTGTAATAGATAATATTAAAAAAAAATCAAAATATAACAAGGTAATATAAAATTTTCCTTGCTCAGAAATCATGCATGAAAAGACAAAGTGGTCGAACTTCACGACAAATGCATAAATTGGAGACACGATACACGCCAAAAAAGGCCTGAAAAATGGAAAATTTTGACCTCATCAGCTCACTTAAACGAATTGAAGACAAGTTATATGCGTATAAATATACATCCGGATTAGGATATAGATCTTCAGTCAAAACAGATAGTTCCCAAACAAGTTAACAGAATGAACCCATCTTCATCTGTTGTTAATCAATCCTCAGCACTCCAAATCTTGATTATAAAAACCATCATATAAATAAAGTGGTAAAAAAAACATCTAAAATTTTACTTTGATCTACTTCTCTACATATCATGACAGACAAAATTTTCTTACAACATCCAATCCACATGTTTTACATTGATCACAAACACCCACAAAACTAATCAATAAATTTCCACATTGAATTTGAGCATAATAAAAGTACCTTATCGAGTTTTTCAAAAGTCTCCGCCTTCCGTGGGACCCACCCTTTGATAGCTTCCCCTGCCACCTCAACCAGCCAAGACGGCCAACCAGCAGCAACCTGTTCTCCTTCGATGGCTTTCGGAAGGTTCCTAATGCTAGGCGGAAAATTTTTGATGTCATCATCAGAATCTTTCTCTCGTTTCTTTTCGTAATAATCGTCCCTCACCCTTCGAGACCCATTACTTTTCCTATCAATCAACCCAATTTTAATCTCCCCATTCTCCAGCTTATCATCCTTTGATGAAAAGCACTCATTCTTCTTCCTGGAAACTGCTCGAGCCATGCGCAGTTCAGATGTTTTTCGAATTAACTCTCTCTGTTTTGGGCTGTCATCAACAGCCGATGAGGGCTTCCCACACACACAACCCATGATTTTTTTTCCCACAATCAAAACCCACCAAGGAAAGAAATAAATAAAGGAGGAAAAAAAAAAGGAAAAGAAAAGAAAAGAAAAGCTAAAAGCCCTCCTTCACAATTTCACAAAAAATCATCCCCCGCTGAAACCCTCTTAATTCCTACAAACCAATCAAGACAAGGAACCTCAGCTTAATTCAGTACACTAAAGTTAATTAAAAAAAAAGACCAAAAAAAGGGACTGAAAATCCTATCATAGCAAAGAATTTCAATACACTCGCAACCCAAGAGCTCCAAGAACTCAACGCTCTACGGTCAAAACAAAATAGAGAAGTAAAGAACCAAAATTTCTTACCAGGGCGGAAAAAAATTCAATCTTTTCACCAAAATTCAACACCAAATTCTCAGGGCTCGCAATCTCGAATAAGTCAAGAAAAGGGGGGAAAAGAAAAAGAACTTAGAAGCAAGAAAAGGCTTGGTCTTGAAGAAAAAGATTATATATTATCTGGGCATTTATGGAATGTTCAACACGCTTATACATGAGATCATGGTGGTGTAATTTGATATTCTTCATACAGGCATCTGTGTGTTTTGTGCATAAAAGGATGTGTAGAAATAGAAAAAGGATATAAAACGATGCCACGAACGACAGGTTTATTACTTTCTCTCACTAAAAACTCACACAACAGTTTCTATGGCGGTGTGCGACTCTGTATACAGCTTCAAACTAAAGTCGCCTTTGGGGATGAGTTTGCAGTTTCGTTTTATTTTTTTATTATTAATTAATAATTATATTCCTTTAAAATCTATTTCATTTTCTCTGCATCTTTAGGTAGGGTACAGACAATTTTTTTCCATAAATGTTCTGTTTGACCATTGATATAATCTTGGTTTATAAAAAAATTTAAATAAATTCTGGTGTAATGGAGCTTGACAATTAAGCGAGGTCGGTTGGTCTTACTATTTAAAAAAAAATTGTATATTGATACTATTATATATCATATTTATGTTATTTATTAAATACAATATTTTCTAATAAAATTGTGTATATTTGTTGTATATGTTAGTTTAATTGTTAGATCGAATAATAACGAAAATGCAAAGAAATGAAAAAGTATCAAATTAGATTTATTTGTATCTTAACCGAATCTTGTTTATTTCAACTTTGACTATTTTATTTTTTTCGCGCAATCAATTTAACCTTTTAAATTCAAAGAAGTATTCACATTTCTTTTGAATGAAAGAAAAAAGAAAGAGAGAGAAAATCGAATTTCATTTTTAAACACTTTCTTTAATTAGAGAATTTATCACAAATTCTAGCATGACTTTTATCACAAACAAATATAATCGCGTAATGTTTATATTGTTTAACAGCATCATCATTACTAAAAAGTACAAGCCAATAACCACCAATAAATTTAGGGTGATTTTGGCATGTGGCAGTGCCCAATTAATGGAATATATATTTCAAATCACAAATTTAATAAACATGATTACTAGTAGTATTTTCTTTTTCTTTTTGAGTGAATTTGATTACTAAAATTTATGCATTTGAGGAAAAGTAAATATATAATCATAAAACAATTATGTTAATGATATATAATCATAATTTTATTTTATTTTTCTTTTGTGAGTGTTTGTGTCTCCTTTATGGAGTTTGTACCCTCTTGGTCGTCTGTGTAATTTCAAGGAAGGTTGGTACAGACTTTGTTCTAGTTCCAGTGGTATTCGTTGATACATCGGTTGTAATTTTTTGAATTTTCAGTTATTAATATAATTATCGTTTGACAAAAAAAAATTATGTTAGTGATATAGCATAGAGAGCTCGCTAGTGAATATGCTCTTTTGTAGCTTGGGTTTTAACCAAAGCTCCCTTAACTCGACTTAGGGGTGATAGGTCGGATTAGTCGAGGTAGGTTTCTAAGAACATCCACAATACTTTGGGTCGATTTTTGCTTAAGTGACATGTAAATATTTCCAAGTCTTGAATGTCATTGATTTAATTAAATTTGATCCAATGCAAAGAGACTGAGCTCTACTTGAGTCTAAAATAGACTTAAGATGGACCAAGTCTCTCTTTCTTGCTGCTACATCAACAGGACCCAGTTCACTTCTACTTGCATTGGATAATTTTTATTTTTATTTTTTAAATTGGGTTATTTTCTACATGGCATGTAAAGCAATGTGGATGCTCTAAGAGCGGTAGGTCGAGTTTACGACCTGGGACCTAGGTGACCTGAGATCTCGACTAGCGAGCTGGTACAAAACAACACATTTAGTTTCAGATGGTGACTTCGGGTTGACTTGGTGAACATGTAAAGGCGTTAGCCGCGTGATATATAGGCTGCGTTTGTTTAATGGCTTTTTGGCTTTAAAAGAGTTTTTTGAGTTATTTTAGCTGTTTGATTTATTAGAATGAGCTGAGACAAATATTTGGTAAACAACTTTTATAGCTAGTTTTGTGGGCCCTATCCACTAAGATGGAAAACGCTGCATTTACAAGCGTCTTAAAGTTAGCGGTTCTAAGATAAAAAATTAAAAGTCTTAATTACCCTTATTCATTATTANATACTTTTTTATTCAAACCTATAGCAATAAAATATGTATCATATTTTTCATATTTTAAAAATATAAATAATATTTAGCTTTCCAAAATTATATTTTAAAAATATAAATAATATTTAGTTTTCCAAAATTATATTTAATGTAACATAAGAAAAATATCTAAATATATAATTGTCATTCCAACTAACTCTAGTATAATACTTAACAACTAATTTTACCCACTATTTTTTTAAAATTTTAAACATATATAATTTTAGTTACTTAGATGTAAATGAAACTTTTAGAAATTGTTAATGTAAATTTTAGTTACTTAGATTTTCTTTTAATTATTTTTTTCACTTGTAATGAGAGATATTGCAATTGACTCACATTTATTTTTTTTTAAATAGTGATGACTTGTTATTAGCTTTGTTTATATGACGTGAACTTATTTACTCAATTAAGAAATATTCTTTATTTTATTATTATTTATATTTTAATAATATTTTAAATCACTTTAATAAATATATAAAATATTAATTACTTTTACTTCCTAAATAATTATAAGTTCAACATAAATAAGAATGATAAATATGTTTGTGTCTTTATATGTAATTTTACATTGTAACAGCTAATAAAAAATAGCTAATTTTACCAATATTTTTTTACAAACAGGTATCACGATCATCTAGTCAAAACAGCTAACTAAATCTACTAGTCAAAACCGATAACTCATTCAGCTAACCGCTGATTACCAAACAAGGCCATAGTGAATGTGAGATTGTGAGGATTGCGAGAATCTGGAATATATGGAAGGAGATCAATTACAAGAAGATACGTGTATATCCGATTTTCTAAGGGAGGAGAAGTCTTAACAAGGTATTTACTCTCTTATGAATGTGGAGGTATGATTATTATTACGTTACGCTAAATTTTGTTCATTATGTATATCAATATACAAATTAAAAGAGGGATTAACTTGATCGAGAGGCTCTACACCGGAAATTCTCCCAATGTTTTTTCAGGTACTCGAACGAGAAGGTCAAATAATATTTGGAGATTTAAAGAGAACCGATAATTTAAACCGGGGTGCTTTGGTAGATCCATATCAGTTAGTAATGAGATAATGAGGTGCAAGGACTCAGACCTCTATGAAAATTTATGAAATTTATAAGATAGTGTATTTGATTAAAAGACATGGTATTTTTTTAATTCAATTAATGGACATTAAATTATCTATAGAAGTGTTATATTTGAAAAACAAAATCTAAAGGAAAAAAACCATGTTTTTACTTGTAATTAATATTAATACGTACATATTCTTTTGATTGTTTCTTTTTAATAAATTGTTATCTTTGATGTTCACTATATTTAACAGGTAAATAAATATATAAAAAAATATCTCCAAAATATAAGCAGGATCAATTTAATGTTTTACTCCACACTAATGGTTTATAGATTACTAGTACAGAGCCCGTACGATGCACGGGGTGTACAATTTTAAGGCTATTTATCTAGGTTTATAATTATATACATGAATAAAGAAAAATGTACGGGATATATATAGTACGTGACCCGTGCGAAGCACGGGATATATTTATTTGGAGAATATTATATTATAAGATGCAATATTCAATAAAAGTTTATAATACGCAAGAAAATTGTACAATGTTCAATAAAAGTTTTATAATATTCAAGTGGAGTCTTAAAGTCACTTATACATTAAGACTACTGATAAAATAATATTTTAATCAATGAGTTTCCTTTCCTTGTAGTCAAATTGTGAATGTGATTTGAGGAGTACAACAAATCGTTATATAGCTGACTTGCTTTTTTTATTGTAGTTTTTTTTTTTATAATGAATTTAAAGATATTCTAAAATATAGCAAAAATTAATTTTTTTATTACAATTAAGAATTTTACTAAATATAGACTCTCAATCTATGGTGTTAATCAACGTTTAAGTCTAAAAAATTAGGAATTTTTACCTCTTTTAATCAACGTTTAAGTCTAAAAAACAATAGAGTTATTATAAGTTTTTTTCTACATCTTTTAACACATTAAATATGAGCATGTTAAGGCTAGCTTGTAAAATAATTAATATATTATCTCACTAAAACATTTATACTAATAAAAATTTAATTTTAGCATATAAATTTATCACTTGATATAAGAGAAAGTAACAGTTTTACTTATTGTTGTTCACCATATAATATTTAATTATTATTTTATTATATAATAAAAAATAAATATTGTTAAATAGTGTAGTAGAATTGTTATAAAATTATATGATTTTTACTTTTTTTTTTACAATATGGACTTAATATTTTTTTATGATTTGATAAAATAAACAAATCTATACTTAACTTTGACAAATAAAGCAAATAAATACTTTAGTAAGTATTTAATGTATATACTAAATAGGAATATATTTGGTATAATCAAATACCAAATATAATCAAATAAGTCAAA